GCATATATAGAACAATTAATTTAGAGTTCAAAGTTATTTTTTTATGATTTTTTGAAAATATCTGAGTGAATTTTAAATCATTAAACAAATTTCAAGTTAGATAAGTAAAATTTGAATGATTGAGCATATTATTTACAAATTTATAGTATTTATTTCTGTCAAAATTTTGTTGAGCCAAATAACATTTTGCTGAGTAAAATTTTCACAAAATTGAATATTTAACACTACCCCAAATCTTTTGGATGAATTTAAAAGCATTGAGTAGAATTTAAGTGTTTTCAACACTAGCTTAAATGCACTGAATGATATTAAATTTGTTAGGCAGATATGTATAATATGTCTAATACCTTATTTTTAAAGCTCTAACTCAATAAATTCTTTAAATTCAATCTACATACAATACATCTATGCATCATTTTTAATCTCAAATAAATCAACTGTCAATTTACATTCAAACTTAACTAAAATCAATATACAATAAACTCACACACAATCACAAGATTAAATTGGTCCTGTAATTCAAACAATGTGACCAAATCACTTTACAGTCTAAATCTTCTAGCCTAGGATACTTTGAAAATTGAAAAATAACTTATTTCCCTTACCTCAAATTTTATACCTCTAAGCTAGAAAATTCCTAAATTTTCAGGAGGTCAAATCTTACTCACAGAATTTAACATATCACGTTACTATTAAACTAGTCAATATTTATCTTTATTCAACAAAACCCACGTGTATGCACCCTAGGTCCACATGCAGTCTCCTCAAATTTACATGTAAATTCTCTAAAAAATAGACAGAGAAATTTTCTCTATTGGAAATTTTGATTATTTAGAAGTCTTCTTTACTCCAAAAACACTAAGACATGCTTGGATCTAAAAAAAAAATGAAGGAGGAAGTGAGAAAGCTAGAGAAAAGAAAAAAAAGAGAGTTGTAGAAAGATTGTGATAATTTTAGAATGAAGTTTTAAAGGTTAAAATTTTCTATTAATAACTATTTTTAACTTATTGATAAACTTACCCAGCTAAACAACTTCTATTTTTTTTTTCTCACTTAAACTAAGTACTCACATGAAAAAAATCATAAATTTAAAAGAACTTAAAAAAATAATATCATTTGTGTCATAAAAAAAACAAAAATTAGAGTTTCAAACTTGTGATCTTTAGCTCTAATAAGATTATTTCGTAATTCTCACTAACAATTTCTTAGAATTCAATTAATAAATTAAAAAGTTTGATATAAACACAATACCAAATTTTATTTAAATATTTATATATAATTTATATTTGAACGGTTTATCCAAAAAATTGTTCTTTTCAAAGAATAAATATCTTTACAAAGTTTAGAGGAAAAAAAATAACAAATATATAATAAAATTCACTATCTTTCTATAATTTTTCTAAAACAATAACACGGTATCATGCATATCTTTTATATATTAATTGAGAGTAAGATAATATCTTTGCAAGATACTAAGATTTATTTATAGAGAAGATGATTATTTTAAACAGACATTTTTCCAAACACCAATCTAAAAATTGAATCTCTACCAAAATGTTTGAAGAACATGTATGGTTTGACCATTACCCAATTGATGCATATGACAACACTTTACGTATATAGAGACCCCTTTTCTTTTCTTTTCTTTTTAAAAAAAGAAAAATTATTGGAGAAAATTGCACAACAACATATTGCTTATTAGGGTAATGAATCTTATAACAAATTTTTGTGAGTATACTTTTTAATGATTTATAATATTAATAAAGCTTTAGTAGGAGAATATTGTGTACTTGTAATATATAGACCTTTAATTATTCTTGGTACATAATTGAAAATTATCATCATATGTTTATTCTTTTTAATTATCAAGAGACTGTTTTTGCATCAAATACTGATCAATTTTGTCGTTGTAATAATTAATGCCAAGTGGATCGATCACGTTGTGAAAATATAACGATTCATGTGTTCAAATTATCTTTTCCTATTTCCACAAACTTTTTATTATGCTTCGTTGCTTTTCTCACATCGGCAATGTCTTTTTCTAACAATGTTATTAATGATTTGATTAGTTTTGAGTTATTTAAAATCGGTTCAATGGTTCAACGTAATTTGAATTGATATATATATATATATATATATATATATATATATATATATATATATATATATATATATATATATATATATATATATATATATATAAATATGAACACTTTCTATATAGATTTTGAAAAATTCTATTCACGTGTTCTAATTTCATGTCTTAACAAGCTTTGTTCAGCACACTTTTTTTCACATGGTGAAGGTATTTTTCTAACTCTAATATTCCAATAATTTCGCTTAATCAATTAATCACTTTTCAATTTTTATAATTAGTTCAATCAATGGTTTGATGCAATAGTTTATAACAATTTAGATCACTTCATGAATACCTTATGTTCAACAGCGTGGCATCTAATAAACTAATAATTAATCAAGATTTATATATATAAGATTTAATTGTTTTGATTTATATTATCTGATTTAATCGGCTTATAAATCAATGATTTGTTTTGTTCTTCTCTTTTTCTTATACAGATAGAAAGTTTATTATATATATTCAAGATTTTTTTTCAAAGTCCTAATTGATTGTTAATTAACGACAAATTTTCAGTTTAAAACTAAACATTTTTTTGTTTGTGTCTGAGTACATGTTCAAATGGACTAATTTAATACAATTTTAAAGTAATATTAAGGTGTTATCATGATCGTTTTGTACCAAAGAAATATTATCAAACTATTTTCTCCATTTTTATTGGATTGAAGACGAAATAGATAAAAACCAACTAATATATTTTGTCGTCCTTAATTTCAATACATTTTACACAAATTATTTTAAATAATAAGTCAATGACTTATTATGGTTTTTGACACGTATAATATATAACGAATGTAACGAATATGACCATTTAACGAACAGATGTTGAGGCATTATATAGATTCATTCATTCACATGTATCTGTAGCATAAAATATAGTATAAGGTTTAAAAATACTTATTAACAAATTACTTTTTAATAATAGAAAATATAAATAAAAGAATAGTAAAAACTACTGACATTTAATTTTTTTCTTTCTTTTATATTTTGAAAATTAATTGAATTATTAAACTTATATAAAGAGGAGAAACTCTTAATTTTACGATGGTAAGATATGATTAAATTTACACCCAATATGATACACATTACACATACTTTTTTTTTCCTTTGGTCAATGGTCCGAATGGAACCTTCCGAAATTTAAAGCAGACGATCCTTGGAACTTTAGAAAGTTTAATGGGTGGTTACGTAGTAGATGGTTTTGGATTAGGTAATTTTTTTATATGATTTGAAGAAGATTATAAAAGTTTTTGAGATGTCGAATATATCGTTTTTCCCAAAACCCATTTAATAGCTTGAGAAGCTTTAACAAACCACCTACGATTCTATTCAATTCAATGTCGCTGTATTCTTGGTTGCATTACTCTACCGCGTTTGGATTCATTTTTTGAAGGATTGAATTAGGTAGGGATAGTAACTAACCCTGAACAACCTTACGTGTTTAGCGTTTGGTTTATCATTAGGTAAGGTTTACGTATTCATAGTTTAGCTTGTTTAAAATAATTTATTTATATTAATTATACATAATATTTTAAAAAAGAAAATGTAGCTCAGTTACAACTCTCATTCTCTTGTTCACTAAAAAAAATCATAATTTAATGTCCTATCCCAAATTATCTATTATTTGTTAATAATATAATATTTTATTTCCATAACATAGTTTTTTTTGAAATATAATTAAACACAATACAAATATTCTTTATATCAATTTAGAAAACTAAGGTATAGCTTAGTGACAAGAAAAAACACATTGACTTAATATCAAATTTAAGAAATAATAATTTTATTAAGAAACTTAAAATTATATTTATTTTAAAATAAAAAGATTTGTAGAAATTCTTTAATATAACGCCTCTAATTTTTTTTTTACTTTTAACTAATGTATAAATTAATCTTAATTTACAGATAAATTAACCTTTTGTTTTTCTTTTCCGAAATATCTTGTGAAGAAATTCATTCAAATATGAATATAATCTTACAGTTTTTTTTTTTTTTTTGTGTAAGTTTTTTAAATTCATATATCTAACGACAAAACAAATCATGACCTTTTAGGTTGCAATTAAGTTAATTCAATGAGATCACAGCTAACCACAGTTAATGCGACTTTTCAAAATTATTATATTTTAAATACAATTATTCAGTTATACATTATTGAACTTTTACAAGTTTCCGTATTTGTGTACAAGACTTAGGAGGAGAATAAAGGTGAACTTGGTGTCATATATTTCAAAAAGAAAAGTGATTATCTTTATATCGGGATCATATTTGTTGTGCTAAAGTAGAGGTTCGATAAATTTTCTCTTTACATCAAAGTTTTTGGTCACCCGTACTATAGGCATCAAAGGATATTATTATTCTTAGAATGATGACTATTAAGTCTATCACAGTCAAGGGAATACAACAAAATCATAGTACAAAAAAATTAGATATTTCTGGGAGATTACATGAATTTAACTACATGTTTCAATTTTTGGTGTTATCATGAAGACATCATAATCCCTGTTTCACTAAGGAGGGATGAAATAGTTACTATTGGGTCGAAAAATTCAAATTCCAGTTTCGGTGAAATGCTTGACCCTACACATGGCATGGCCTGATGATTCAATCTGGCAAAAAGATCAAATCAGTTATCCCACTTCATTGCATCATCAGTTTCTTACCTAAATCACCAGAAAGTTTTACTTCAATATGTCGTGTTGCAGCTATATATATATATACCTTCACTCTAAAGCTACATATATCAATGTATTCGTTACATATATGGCGACTTCAATATTTTTCTATCTGTTAGACCGTAAAAAATAAATTGAATAGAGTTTTGGAAAGAGAAGTATGTACAGGTGCAAAACAAAACTGGAACGCTTCATTCTTCTTTCATTGCAAACTCATGCATCTTTTTCTGCCCGATTTCAAGAAGTAGAGTCAAGAGAGCCTCGCACACCTGAGATGCATCTCCTTCAGAAGGGTCATCATTTAGCGATGAATAAACCATCCAAGCATGGTCCAATTTTCGCTTAGGTTTCACTACGACAGATCCAGGAACTTCTGCGTCTCGGCATGTCACAAGGCCATCACTTTTCTCACCATACCTCACCTGTGTCAATTGTGCACAAGCAGCCATAGCAGCACCAAGGGGCATCACCACCGGGAGTTTTGTACACTCACCAGCCGGAGTAACCAGGGGTGGAAGTTCGGCATGTGCAACATGAGATAATGTGGCTAAAACGGCAGGTGAAATGCCAGCTTCAGTCCGAAAGGAAACAACTGGGACTTCTTTTGGCAGATGATGCTCTTTTAAAAACTCCCTCCGCCTTTCATATGTCAAATCTTCTAAGGCTCGCATGTCACCCTTCAATATAATAGATAATAAGTAATAGCAAGCAACCGTAACTTAAATAATGTCGAACATTGATAGGAACTAAGCAAATTACCTCAAATAAGAAGATTTAAAATATGTAGCTTACAAGGAAACATCAAATAGAACAAACTTAATCAACGAGTTACTACATGAAATAAGAAGAATCATGTAATGACACTTTGATCGCAAAAACTGAAAACTATGTAGATTAGCAGCAACTATTTAAAATTCCTTTTAAAAAATCCTTCGGTTTCTCAAATAATTTATCAAGTCAAGGACAAGGTAATCTCAGTTTGTAGTAAGGGTGATGTGAGAAATTGAAAATACAACCTGCATGAATCTAGAGTCCAAACCCTGTAGTCAACTATATTGAACAAAAAGAACATAACACTCCAGGGAGACTTCAAGGAGTTTTTTGTTGGATATTTTTTTAGGTGGGTTAACAATAAGGAGATCCTCACAAACAAGTCAATCATATAAAAGAATATAACACGATCTTTAATCCAAAATCTCATTAGGTTATGAGATTTTTTTTTATTTATAAGTTTCTCAACTTTTCCATTTCTACTCAATGTGAGATTTCAACTCATACTTAGATTTCCAACAATCCCCCCTCAAGTATGATTCCCTTTCACATTGGTTCACCTCCTCCTTAACCAGAAGTATTTCTTAAGCATGAATACCCAGTAACGAGTCTACTTATACCGTTGTTCAACTCAATGGGACTTGCTTATTTGAAAACCTTGTTAGGAAGACTTTCAACATAAAGATTTACAATCTAAGATCTTTCACCTACTCTAAATTGTACTTAACCGAGCCAGTTACCTAACGAACCACTAACTTTGATACTAATAGGCTAACACGAAGAGATTCTCAATAATGGAACACAAGTCAATTATATAAGATAATATGACACCACGTTAAACTCAAAACCTCGTATTAGGTTATGAGTTTTTCTCATTTATAAGTTACTCAATTTTCTCATTTTTATTCAATGTGAGATTTCAACTCACTTGGATTTCCAACATTTTCTTTGGCATAAAGAACATGATATTTGGACGAGTGTTTTCCAAATATGTCAAGGGGTTGGGAAACTTTGTAAAACATTGATATTTCCTTTTTCTACAGTATTTAGCTCTTATCATTAGGAGGATTTCTTATTCTCCAAATTCATTTTAATTTTTTTTGTCTTATTGAAGATCCCACCATTAACTAGTGGTATGACCAAAACAAAGTATACAAGTGAGAGACAATCCTCCTCACTTTCCATGCTAGCTTTAGGAGTAAATTAAATTCTCAAATTCTAAAATGGAATTAAAGTTCATCCAAGTAACCTATTAGGTTACCCTATATGAAGTCGTTACAGATATTCAGTCTTAGAAACTTGATATTCAAGATATTTTGTCCTCACCATATATGGGATGTGTTAAAGATCTCACAATAACTAATGATACAACAGCCAACATAGTGCTTATAAGAGGAGTTTGAGTTAAATTATGTCAAACCCAAATTCCAAGATGTAAGATGTGTTTAAGATCTCACAATAATTAGTGATACAGCAACCAAAATGGTGTATATAAGAGGGGCCTCATCCTATGAGTTAGCTATAGGTTGAATTAGGCACAAAACCAAATTGTAAGATGTAAGATGTGTTAAATGTGTTAGTCTCACATTAACTAATGGCACAACAGCCAAAATAGTTATGTAGAGGGCCATCATCCTACGACCTAACGTTCGAGGTTGAATTACACTCAAACCCAAATTCTAAGATATCTTGATGAATAAAAAATAATAATCTGTATATTTCCTATAAATACTCTTTTTTCACAAATAATTATACTTCCCAGATTTACTGCTTCCTTAAAATATATGATTATGTACGCAAAAACAAACTCTGTAACATTTTACTTTCTTTAATGATAGATAAGATAAGTTGTTTTGCATAATACGTCCAACCACTCTAATGGGACCAGAGCAGTGCTAAACAACATTGTAGTTCAAGAAATCAATAGATATTCCCTCAAGCAACATGAAATTGTGATACAGTACATCTGGTCAGAAAATGTAGATTACAAGCAAGAAAACAAATGCCCAAAGTTTCTATAGAGAAACAAAAGAAAATATAAACACGCATGCATATCCATTCAAAAAGAATGCCAAAGAAAATAAACATTAAGTACACAAAAGGACCCCAAGGGTGATAATAAAATAACTCAGCATACCTTTAATACTTTACAAATAAGAATCTCGGTAAGTTTCCGTAAATTCACATAATCACCAAGCTGTCCTTCACGCAGAAGATCTGAAGCTATAGGAGTTCCACCATAGGGACTTTGGGCTAATGCCAATCCAGCAACTTTATCTTTCAAATCAGACCAATACAATGATAAAGCAGCTGCTGCATCAACTCCTCCTTTGCTATGTCCAAGAAGCAGGACACGTTTCTGTGAACCCCAATAAATTTCCTCAATGTACTCTTTCAGCTCTCTGGCATTTTTCTCTACTGAAGACTGATTATTAATTACTAAAATTCAGTAATAGAACTGACAAACAACAACACCAATATTATCTACAAAAATATTTTTAAAATTTTTCAGACTAAATTACTACTACCATGGTCATCATCATTAAGCACTGTTATTGGTTATATTACTACTACAATGACTATTATAATATTACCTCACTATGAATCTTTGCAATGTGACATGTCAAACCCATTTTTGAAAAACTGACTTTTGTATCGACAAAGTAAAGTGGACCATGATTACTGAAAAGACCTGCCATTGTGAAAAGCAAATTAATAGCACAGAAAATATGTTGCAACAATGAACTTTGGCAGTTTTACTATTTACATCCTATAAGCCAGGCGCTAATAAAAATTTATCATTCCAAATGCACCATGGACTTTAGGCTTTTCCTTTATGTGAGAACTTGGAAGTGGAGTTGGTCATGATTAAGCTGATCATATATATAATCAGTCACTTTACCTGGAACTAACAAATAAACCACTGAATTTGGTAACTTGTGAACACCATGCCTGACACGGTAAGGAAAGCCGAGTTAACAAAACAACAACAAAGAGAAAATTGGGAAAATTAAATACCATGAACATACTTGATGTTGTCTAGAATTTCCAGAAACCTATCTGTTCCATCTTCAACCGGAGGCATTCCTGGATCACGTTGAAGCCATCCTATATCATCTGCAGATCCACGCACAGTCCTTCGAGCACGTTCAATCAGGCTAAAGTAATAGAAAAATAGTTTACAAACCCACTTGTTAATTGTCAAAAGGACTTTCCGATTCAGAGTTTAGATGGTTATATAACAAAACTTTAAAAATAAAAGAATTGAAGTAAAGAAGGACAAATTAACACCTAAATTTAAACGATGGGTACAACAAGGAAAAGTTTACAGAATAGAACAATGCACCCAACACAGAGGAAATGAATATGGAGAACCACTAAGGTCTAAAGTTGCAAACTCATATTCCACATTCAATATTCCTCTTAATAACTTCACAAAATGTCAAGCCTATCTGATACATTAACAGTTATAACAACTATGGTTACCCATGAAGCCATGACTTTCTACACCTTTATATGCATACACAAGAATGTAAGTTGATAAAGAATACCTTTGGAACATGGAAATGCCACTTTGTCCAGTACGATTCGATTCAACAAGTGCACTGGAATTTTGTGACAGAACTCCATCAGAGGTACCAGAGATTTGATCATGCATATGTGGACGTGCAGAAGTTGAAGCATTAGATGTTTCAACACTAGTTAAATGGATTCTGTTTGAAGGAATATGATCAATTTCAGTAGATGAAGTTGAATCAATTGCTGCATAAGGAAAATCCACAAGCTCTTGTGCAAGAGGGGTAGAAGCAGCAGAACCTCTGGGCGAATGTTCTACTGAAATATTAACAAAAGCTTTAAGGTCTATATTGCGGATGTCAGGGCCTTGTAGTAAGTACAATTAACAAAACAGACATGAAAAAAGTCACTATAAATCAAATGGACATGGAGAAATCAAATAAGATAACACGAGGAAAGGTTACACCTCAAAGAACTGTGTAAGGAATAAAGTAAATACTTATGTTCTTTCTTTTAGTTACATTTTTCTTGTGGAGATTTATAACATGGAAAATCAGCCCAATCATTCTTCTTACAATGATTCTGTCAAGGCTTCTTCCCTGCTTAACTCTTTCCGCTATCACTCCAACATGTATCCTTAATATTAGAACATTGAACACTACTACCGTGGTTTGTAGAATATACCTCCTCACTTCGTCTAGTAACCTAAATGTGTACTTCTCCACACCCATAAGAGAATTCCCATTGGAGTTTGTCCCAGAAAGGTACCTCCCAACAACAACAAATTATTTTGTCTATGGTTCCTTCTACTGCAACTTAAAAACCATTCTATCAAATCTCAAAGATTTGCAAAGCATACTTAATGAAAGAGATGGACGCATTTGCTGAATAAAATGTTTATGAAGAGTCACGCACAATGCACATTCACGATTTTACATACATAGCTAATGTCGTTTATATGACGGGGGAGGTTATGTAAAACACACAAATATAACAATTAGAGATTTTTTCTGTAGGTCTAAAGAGAGGAGACATATCATTGCAATAAGGGTAAACCTAAGGGGGTCATTGTAATTTACTCTAAAATTTAAGTCCATCATTCCTATTTTTCATTAAATGCAGATGTGCTTAATTGAGAGTGGCATAATATTTTTAGTCAAACATCCATATTCTTTTTCTCACAGATAAACCACATCAATATTTTGATACTCCACATAATAACTCAACTTCATTATTTCCTTTTCCTTTATAGAAACTTTTGACTGGCTACATAATTCCTTAAATTACATCTATGCACTCTGAAAACTAGATAAACAAAAGAGAAACTTGCCTGAATAATCAGAGAAACAGCCAGTTAAGTATGATGTTGTTTGTGCAAGATAAGAAGCAGCATCATTAAGAGCTGGCATAGATGAAAATATCTGAGGAATAAACCCATCATTTGTCAAACCCTCTCCCTGTACCTGATAAAAGGATAAACATAATCTGATTTTATTTAAGAAAACTAATAAAATTATTATTTATTATTTCTCTAATCATAAAGACAGTCATGAAAGGAAGGTAGGGCTACTAGTAAAAAAAGTAGAATTACATGCAATATCAAAATCGTAATAAGGAATTTCAACAAAACCACCCTTAACAGGACAATGTGTGTAAGAGCAGAACAGAAATTTGGATTGTAAAGGGTTATTAACAATCATGCATACATGGTGCAAAAGTGATGGAAAAGGAGTTGAATGTGGGAAAGAGAGGGAATTGATCAAGTTTTTATTTCTTTATGTGTCCCTTTCTGTTTGTTCAGTCCCTCAAAAGAGACCTACCACTGGTTGTGAGTACCTTCTCAGTTATTTCTACTTACATCATCCTTAATATTGGTTCATCTTGATTGTTGAACAATCATTTTATTTCAATTCTTTCACCATCTTGTAAGTGTTGACATTATTATTTCTTGATAAATATATTTATACCAAATCTTCTTATTTAAATATAGTATGCTAACCTTTGAGAAAGAAAGAAATCCTGGTGCACAAAAGTTTATTATGACAGCAAATTACTCATTTTCCAAACTTGTTGTTCCCAGATATGTTTCCAACACAATATATTATGTAACAAATAGTGTACAATATGATAATATAATCTTAGCAATCAACACACATTAATGGTCTAGTAGTATAATAAAATTCTACAATGGAAAAGATCTTGGTTCAAATATTGGCAAGCACACTTTTTCCATTCTTTCTAAACTAAATGCAATTACATATTATTTAACAGATCATGTGAGCGTAATATTAAAGAAGCACTAAATAAGGCCAACATATACGCATTGGCCTAGATTCGAATTGTAGAAGCCAACATAAAACTCAAACTTGAGTCAAGCTGGATTTGGTTAGCCCATTATCATCATATCTTAAGGCCTTTTAAGCCACAGAAAAGTGTAACAGATTGACTGGATGCAATGAAAACATCTTTACTATCCAAAATAAGCTGAAAGAGATTATTTTCTATTCTTTCTCCTTTTGCAAAGATATTTTTAAGTCATTGGGTGTATGATATTCCTTTACTAAGTCCCATTAAGCATGTGCCACATGAACCATGCAAGCCAATATAACCTTTTACTATCAATACAACAATCATGTTTTGTTTAAGAGAATGAAATTGGAATGGGAACAGGAACGAGGGTGAGCCTGGCACAGTGGTAAAGTTGTGCCCCGGTGACCAGTTGGTCATGGGTTTGAATCCAAAATCAGCCTCTTTGCATATATAAGGTTAAGGTTGAGTGAAATGACCCCCCTACTTTTGCATAGAATAGCCCTCTAGCATCGGGGATGTTAGTTTAGTTAAAAAATAAGGGAATACGTATTTTCTTGTTCATAATGACTATTCTTTTCAATTACACAAAAGTAATGCCAGAGTATACAAGGAGGAATCACAATTTCTTCAAGGGAAAGCTATCACCATGAAAAATATGATATGGATAAATGCACAATATATTTTCTTTTATACCATATACCAGTATAAATAGTTGTTAACTTGAGGTATAACTGCCTACACTTGATACATCAGTGCTTTCCGTTAAAGAACAGAGTTCTATTAAATCAAGACATGAGAATAACTGAATATCAAAAAGTTCTGTTAAATTCTTCGTAAGACGCCAAAGCTAGTATCCGTTACTTTCACTTTAACGCACATCCATAATTGTGTGACGCCGACGCAAACACGCACATAGTTAACCTAACTCAGCAAATCTCTCAATTAGTTTTGCGTAGTCATAAATATTAACCAACTAAGATTAATTAGCAACATCTAATAACCACAGGTGAACACATCGCAGGTGTATAATACTCTACAAATGTCACACGGCAGAATAATTCTATGATTATGCAATGCAAACATTTCCTATCTTGAAATAAACTTCTGATTAGAAGCCTAACTAATAAAATAACATTAGTTACCAATATTTCGTCAGACAAAACAATATTAAGCGAATAAAAAAAAAAAACTTACGACGCAAAATTCATCAAAATTATAAACACATCAAACATCAAGTACTTCGTCGTTTTTGTGCATGGAATACAATCAATGTCGTATATACAAGATACAGAAAAAACGGCCAATACGTGACTCACGATTAAGGGCGTGGTCGATTCCAGATGCTGCGGATTTGGAGCTCGCACCATCGAAACTAATTTCTGCCAAACGCGAGAAATGAAGCTCATGAATGAAAACAGCGATAATTGTGAAAATAAAGATAACGAAAATTAGAAGCATGTGTTATGTGATTATACCTTGGAAATTGTGATGCGAGAACGATTTTAAGGAAAGAACTTTGAATTGTAAGTGAGGGAATGAAGGAAGGAAGCGATGCACAGCGATGGCGTTGTTTTGGTTCGTTTCGTAACTACCGCGGTAAGATAATTAGAGTAGCGGAGGAGACGAATTTGACGACGTCGTTTTTTTTTTTTTTTTTCAGTTTTGACCGTGTTTGGGTGTAGTTATGTATGCCAACCCCATTTCAACATGGACGCGAACAAGCCCATTTTCATGCTGTTTGTCTCTTTAAACTCATTGTAGTAGAATATCTCTTGTTTTGATTTGAATATCACCATAATTTTAAATAAATGAATTTTAATTAAATTAATACAAATTAAAAAATTAATTAAATTAATATAAAATTAAAAAATTAATTAAATTAATATAAAATTAAAAATTTAGTTTAAAGTTGATTATATTATCTTTTCAATTGATTTTAATAAAAAAATTAAAAATCAAAACTTTTGAATATAATTTTTATAAAAATATTAATATTTTTTAGTTTTTTTTTATTTTACATTAAATTTAAATAATAAGAATTTTATTATATTTTTATTTTAATGATTATTTATTATTTCTATATTTTAATTTGTAGTATAATTTATAATTATTATAATAATAATTCTTATTATTTTTTAATTATTATTACTAAAAACTTTATTACATATTTATTTTATTAAATTTCATTCTAAAAAATTATTATTATTATTATTATTATTATTATTATTATTAACTATTTTTAAACTTTAAATTCATAAGGTTTTAGAAATATTGAAATATATTATTATTTTTATTATTATTAATTAACGTGAGATTTACATGTGTTAATCTATATCATTATTTATATCATCATTTTTTATTTTACTTTAAATATTAATCTACTTTTATTTTTAACTCTGAACATTTCGTCGCGCTTACTGCATTCTTCCAATTAATGAAAATTGTAAAGTTACGTAGTTAGATCATATACTCTATCTGTTCGAGTTTCGCTCCAAATTTTTAATATATAATTTATTAATATCCAAATGATTTATATTCTGAAATCAAATTATTATATTTATTTAAAATTAAATTTTATAACCATAATTATATTCAATTTTAAAAAAATGTACTTATCTTCTCTAATTTTATACTAAATAGTACTGAATCTCTTATAGTTTTAAAATACACACATATCTTATTTTATTTTTTAATTCACATTCACATCTCTCTAGTTTTTTGAATCCACGTTTATCTCCCTTCTATTTTTTTTTTTAATAAATGATATTATTAGGTTTTTAATAAAGTAACACTTCTATCTTTTATTTTATTTTAAAAATATTATTTATTAAAACTTAAAGAAATTATTATGAAAGCTAAGAAACAGAATTAGACTTTAGAATATAAAATTAAAGAATATTTTATAAACAAAAAAATAAATGATTTAACTACAAAGAAATTGCTCTATATTTAGAGAGATTTTTTAAATGAAATTCACATAATTGAGAAATTATTTATTTTATTTATATTCATACTTATATTAAAATTTTACAATAATAATAATAATTTAAAAAAGTAATAATATATTTTATAAGTAGTTATTTATTTTTATAAAAAAATTTATTTTTATATTTTAAGACTTCAATCTAAAAATTTTATGATTTTTATATAAATTGTCTACTACAATATAAGTAAAAATAGTCTAGTTTTATTTATTAGATCTGAAATCCCAAATCCACCAATCCCCATATTTGTTCCTCATTCTTGAACCTCAAATCTCCACTCTATGTCAAAATCTAACCTCCAAAGGTACTATGCATGTCATGTGAGAGTAGTTATAAAGAGATGTCTTAGAAATTACACAATTTTGAAGTAAGTTGTTCGTTTGTATATTGGATAGTATTTTTTTAGTTTTTTTCATACATAATTTGAGGTTAAGGGAGAAAAACATTTTTGGCTTAGGCTTAAAATAAGTTGGGGTTTCATCTCACACTGCATAAGTGCAGGGTCTCCAGGCTATGCGGCTCAGTCCATAAAAGAACTACAAAAAAAAAGGTCTCTAGCGAAGTATATAGTGAACATACTGTTTATCACATTGTCTTTTTGGAATTTCATTTCATAAAAAAAACAAAATAAAATATAATAATAATTTCGCTTAAAGAGAAAATTTAATTGTTATAAATTTTGGATATCTAATTTTCTTTTTTCTTTTCTTGTTTAACGAATTTAGTCATAATTTCATAATTTCTCTATTTATCTTTGATATTTGCTTCGAATAATTAAGTACGAGATTCACCTACATCATAATTGTTTCTAATTATAATTGATTTTAAAGTAAATTAAAAAAAGTAAACTAATTTTTTTTTTACTAATTGTGACCTCAAATTAATACATAATTGTGCACTAAATGAACCTGAACACTGAAAATGAATATAAACACATGTTAATCAACCCGCTTTGTCCTATGGTTTGGCTTGCGTAGGCTACGGGTTACGCGTGAGAGGCTTAAGCATATTACATGTGGAAAATGTCTAGCTTGACTTGTATTGCCACTCATAGTGTGTGTTGATGGTTGGTTATTAGTGTTTGTTGATGACTGCCCTTCAAATGGGTTTGAATATATGAGTTCATCTTAACATGTTTCTGGTTACCTTTTGTTAGGAAGTTAGGCTACTCATTAGTATTATTATAATATTAGTAACTCTATTCCATACTCCAACCTTAATAGAAGTATCAATATTTTGTTTAGTAGCATTGTCCCGTGCATAGGGTATTTTTCTGCTTCTTAGTGAAGATTTACTTGATATATCTTGCTTAATCGAATCATAACTCAAATGTAATTTGTATTCAATTGAGAAGTTGGTTCTTATTTTGTAAGCTTTCATCTTTTCTACTTTCTTATTGTTGAAAGTCCCACATCGCCTGTCTCATATCATTTAGTATGGTTTAAATACATGTTAGGTTACTCCACATATTGCCAATTGGTTTTATGTTGGAACCTTAACACTGCTTCTATTTTTTCCACATATATATCATGTCATGCTATCTATTGTTGTATTTTTTTTTCATGGATTATAGTGGCTTCAATAGTACTTTTTTTGTAACACCTAAAAAATTATCATGTAAAATTTTCAAATAAAATATATTAAATTATAATATTTTTGGATAATTTAAATATTTTTGTAATACAATGTGTTTGACATTGTGATGGATATGCTTCTACTTTGTAACTGGCAAACTTATCAAACCAACGACAACATATGCACTCACCAAATCTCGAACCGTCTCTATTTATAATTGGGTTAAAGAACTTAAGTTTTCAAATAGACATGCTTCTAATTTTGGCATATGTGTTGAACTTAACCAAGGAAAGTTATATGGAATAAAAAGTCATGATTATCAATGTTTTCCTGCAAAGATTGCATTTAACTCATTGCCTAAATCAATTTGAAAGTTTTCGTTGAACTTAACCTTTTCTTTATAAAATTAAGTTCCTTAACACTAAATGTTGAACATTTATGAGTTATGGAAGAAAAAAAAATACATTTGTTAGACTTCATTTTAGGGGAAATATAAGCAATGTCCGGAAGATATCCAACAACTTTCCACAATTCAAGGCACATCTTTACAAAACTTTACTGTTGTGTTCATTGATGAGAATAAAAGATATTATGTTGTTGGATTTCTTCTTATTGCTAGTTTGAGTCTTTCTTCTTATTGTTTTGTCCACAACATCTACCAACTCAGACTTGATCTCCATGTTCTCGTCCTCTACCATGAGTGTTCTGAAAGTAGAGAGTTTTCTCTTCTTTAAGAGATGTTTCATTTTAAAGCACTTGTAGTTCTTATTTTTCTGATACCCATGGACCTCAAGAGAACCAACTCTTGTATCGTGAGTTTGGACATGTTCTTTGATTCCTCTATTACGCATACAACGTTCTCGAAGTCGTCGGTTAATGGCCTCAAGATCTTCTCCACAACTTGGTCATCAAAGAGCTTCTCTCCATTTCGATTAAGTTTGTTCACCATGACCTCAACACACGTGATGTACTCGAAAACTCCTTCTATCTCCTTCATTCTCATACTTTTAAGTTCTCCATATAGTGTTTGTAATCGAACTTGCACTACAAAAAAAATTGTATTATCTACGACAAAAATCCGTAAGTAATGTCATTTTATCTACGGATTTCCTATGGGAAAAAATCCGTAGGTAATATGGTCGTAGGTAATTTACCTACGGAATTATTGTCCATAAGTAATGTCATCTGTGGGTAATTACCTACGGATTGTGTCCGTAGGTAATTACCCATGTATTACAATCTGTCGACAATTACCCACGGATTACAATCTGTAGGCAATTACCCACGTATTACAATCTGTAGGTAATTATCCACAGCGGATTACAATCCGTAGGTAATGCACACATTCAAATTTACCTACGAACTATAATTCGTAGGTAAATCATTTGATAAATTTAAAAAATTTCACCTTACCACCCACTGATTTAACTAAATTTTACTTGCTACATGCATATTACACACAAAGTATTTAGATATCAAATTTAACAATAATATTCCATAATATTGATATGCACCAAGTGCATATTCAGATATCAAACACAAATTCTAATATTAGCATGCATCAAATAGTCATTCAAATATCTAAGAACATATAAATCCAAAGAAGTAATGTAATAAATATTATGACAATATTGTTTGAGTGTCTTAATAATTTGAGTAATGTCCTTATTCATTTTGAGGATGCTCTGCGGAAGCTGATTGTTGTTGATGTCATGACTGTTGTTGTTGTTGCTACTCTTGCTGCTGCTGTGATTATTGTTGCTCTTATTGTTGTTGTGATCCTTGTTGAGAAGGTTGTTGTTGTTGAAATGCTTGTCGGGCATCAGGTGGAAGAAAAGGAAGGACAACATTGACAAGTATTTGTAATTGACGGGTCAATCTTTCATTATCCTCCCTATAACTAAACACTTGTTCCTTTAATTGTGCGATCTCATGAGAATCAGTAGATCTTGAATATGAGAGGGTATTTCCAGGCCTAAAATTATGGGCAAGTTCTCCAACACCGTAGATCCAACCTTTTTTTTTCCACCTGTAGCAAGAACTCAACTTTCAGTCCTTATTCTCTCCTCCTCTGTAGGATCTAATGGAGATTACTCGGTTTCAAAGGCATAGGATGCTGCCTCAGATCTAGCCTGAGAGTATCTTCTCTGAAATTCTTCCTATTAACATACAAATAAAAATTATGCATTATGTACAACACATATCCATCATAAAGATTAGTGCCAAGTAGATGATCCTCCTCAATGTCTGATTGTGCATCTCCTTCCTGAATATGTACTTCTTGGTCTTCCCCAGCTAGTGTATGATGGACTCTAGAAGGCACTGATAATGGTGATAATGTTGGAGACCTTGAGGGTAATTAGCTCCTGGGGAAGGTGTTGATGAAATGACAATTGATGGACTAAGGTTGGGTGCATCGACTGGGGATAGGGTAGAAGTGACTGTAGGTGCAATATTGTCTGTATGGGCATGTATATTCTCAGCACCTGCAGATGAAGAAGGTATAGGTGCAGGAGCTACGGGTGGGGGAGGGACATTTACTTTAAGTATATAGCATGGTCTTTTTGGTTTCGTTACTTTTTTCCCCTTATTGGGATGAAACATGGGAGGTTGGGGTGAGTCACACCCTCCTGATGACATATATGTACATATGAAATTTATATAGTCAATTATGCAAAGGAGTAACATCATACATAATATGGAATAGAAAAATTAACTCAGAAAACATTTTTTCATCTACATAATGAACAAGCTAATTATATTCAGTCCATATCAATTTAGATAGCCCACACAGAACCAACAAAGGGCTTCAATAGCCCCTGATTAGAACCAAATAGTAACACCTAAACCAAACCAAACGATTGGAACCGATCTAAAGGCAACGTAATCCATAAATACAGATTAACCAAACAAAACCAAACTGGAACCAATCAAAACCCACACTTGAAAACCAATTATTCAAACCAGACAGAGGGACATATCTTCCAAATTAATACAAACAGGGTCAGGCCAGAATAAAATGGAGAAAACATCACCTAGGTGACTCACAAATGGCGGTTCAGAGGCGCGCGGTGGTTGGTGTTGTGGCTAGTTGTAGCAGGCTGAAGACGCGAATAACGATGACTCGCACTTAGTAGTCGCGGTGACCCGCGATGAGGGGATCTTGTCTACGGTGAAAGTCGGTAATGGCGAGATGAGGTTCTTAGGTGGGGATAGTTGTGGTTGATTGGTGGGGTGCGACTCAGGCTAGTGGTGGTTGGCCACGCAGTGGGCAGTTTGGGTGGTAGAGGAGGTAGGTGGCTATAGGGAAGAAGCATAACGGAGAATGGAAAGACGTGACCCACGCTAATGGGGGGGGGTAGCGGATTAGGATGCTGGGAATGAGAGGGGGAGAGGGAATTGGTGATTTCGCCATAGTTAAGGTTGAGGCGTGAAGATGGTGGTGTGCACGGTGGTTTCGGTGAAGGTGAGACTAGAGTGAAGGAGCAGTGGGTTGCGGTGAGGACTAGGGTTGGTGCGGTGGAGGTCGAGGTTGTCGTGTATCTGAGTAGGAGGTGACATAGGCTGGCTAGGGAGAAGGTTTTGCAGCCAGGGTGGAGCAGGGGGTTCGTGGGTTTTGATCCCGAGGGTGGTGCGGTGGTGACCATAGAGGAGAGTGAGATGTAGAGAAAATGGGAGATAAATGGGGGGTGAGTGAAGAAGAAAGGGCACGAGTGAGTGAAGAAGAAGAAAGGTATTTTTAGACTAAAATTTAAATATTGTTTTTCTAATCTTAAATGTTATTAACCTATAATTAGAATTACTTATTCTTGATTTTTTTTTTTTACAAAATATATACTCAAGGACAATGGTTTACAAAATGTCTATTAATTTACATTTAAATTTATTCAATATGTAAAAATAAGCTTCTAGGCGATAAAAAAAAAAACACTTGGGCTCATTCCTCCGAAGAAAGCAACTTTGTGCTGAGATTGATTCTTGCATAAATGAATTAATTCAACACCATACCCATTAGTGGCATGTACGACTTCAACCCTCCCATGTCTTAGCTTCTTCAAAGAATTAAGAAGCTAATTAATGAAAATGGAGTTTCAAAATGATCACATGTATTATGAATGGAGAAAGTTATGACTCAAAAGCATGTGTGGCGTTTATAATATTACCAACTTCTACATGTGAAACAATTAACAATATGAAACTAAGATTCTTATAGATATTTCGTAACTCAAACAATGAGTGTTGATTAAATATTTCACATTCGTCGCATGGTTCCAATCATTGGAAGATTTATATATGAAATAATATTCTTCAAACAAGACGCGAGAAAACGTGTACGTAGAAAAAGGCATGCCATGGAAACACAGAGATATATGTATACATATCATATATTTGTTAGGTAAACTGTAATTAATTATGATCTTTATAAATATATTCTTATACTTATAAACATGTTGTAAACTAAATGCGAAAGCATACCTGAATTAGTCATAATGATGATATCCTTTGTAGAACACTATTGATCTTATGGTCTTCTACATGAAGAACACCTGTATTTTCCCTCTGGATTTTCTCTCTTGATGGGGATAGAGAGAAAAGAACAGGACTGAAACTTACATTCTGTGTGTGTGCTCCCAGAAGGGGACCATGACTCTTTAAATAACCAGAATTAGGTTAATTACTTAAGTTTTAGTATTTCCAATTTGGCCCCTCATCAAATTAGAAATTACTCTATGGTCTTTACACAATTTTATTTTCATGACATATGCCTTTAGCCAAAACTTTAATTTAGTTAGATCACTTTATTATTTGGCTTAATAAATAATGACCCTAACACATTTAAATTATGTATCATATATATACATGACCCAAAATTTGCCAACAATCTCCTACTGGTCACAAATATATATGTCCTTACAACCTTACAAATGTGTTAGACTTTATGAGCTCAAAATTGCCATTATATTCCTTTAGCATATTCCAAAAGTCCTGTTCATTGATCATATCAGGAAATAGAACCAAACCAGCTTTTCATTGCATCATCGCAACTAAAACCAACAATGATTACTAATTCTGACATAACCAAATGACATGGATTCATCATGAAATGTGTAGCATGAAAATTATGTGAAGGTGATATGTACACGTCTATTTTTAACTGGTCCAAACTTTAACTTATCGAGATCGATATAATAACCTTAATGTACAAAGTGTAATGAATGAACGAAAAACCGCATATCTATAGATAACCAAATATGTCCAAAAAATCAATGTATACATACATGAAATTAAACATAGAACATAAAATATATGAAAATGACTAACTCCCACTAAACCACAAATTCCTCAAACTGTAAAACACCCATGTGAGCAATATGCTCATGAAAGACCTTGGGCGGAAGTCCTTTAGTTAGAGGATCTGCTATCATGGAGGTTGTCCTTAAGTGTTCTATGGGAATCTGTCCACTCTGTACTCTTTCTTGAACAATACAGTTAATTTATTGTCACAATATAACTTAAATGGTCTTTCAATGTCTTTCACAATTTGCAGCCCTGTGACAAAATTTCTCAGCCATATTCCATAATTTGATGCCTCATAGCATGCTACAAATTCTTGACATCCTACAAAATTTGAGTCAGAAAACCCAGCGATCTTCAACTGGTTTGACCTCCTGTATGTGAGCATATTATCTTTTGTTCTCTTTAAATATCTTATGACCCTTTTTGTTATTTTCCAATGGTTTATTCCTAGATTGCTTAAATATCTGCCTAGAACCCCAACTATGTATGCTATGTCTGGATGCGTATATACTTGGGCATAGATCAAACTCCCTACAACTGATGCATAGGAAATCTTTTGCATTTCCTTAATTTCCAAATTCCCCTTTGGGCACTGATTGAGACTAAACTTATCTCCCTTTAAACTTGTGATACACACAATCATCAACAATATTCATCTTGAAGTCAAATGAGTTTCATACCTTCTGGTAATGGGACAAGTTCCCAAACCTTATTGTCTTGCATGGACTTATACTCTTCCTTCGTTGCTCCAATCCACTTTTGAGAGTTAGAACCTTGTATAGCTTGACAAAAGTTAACTGGGTTATCTTCCATTATATCATTATTTTCCTCATGTTCTTGAAGAAATACCATGTAATCATCCGAAATAACACTTCTTCTTTCTCTAGTGGATCTCCGCAAAAGTTATTGGCTCATGATGCACAGGTTCTTGAGGATCTTGAGTTTGTTCTTCATGAACAACCAAATCATCTTGAGTAAGGGGTTCATCAACAATGCCTTGTGGAGGTTCCGAACTTACTTTATCAAAAGTAACTATTTGAATCGATTATGAAATTATTACCGATTCTTCCTCCAAGATGAAGTTCTTAATCTTATTCTTCCCCCAAACTCATTATCCTCAAAGAACGTAGTAGTTCCCGTCTCAAAAATTGTCTTTAATATGGGATCATAAAATTTATATCCCCTGGATCTTTCAACATAACTAATAAAATAACTACTTATTGTTCGGGAGTCCAATTTCTTTTCATTTGGCTTATAAGGCCTTGCCTCAGCTGGACAACCCTACACATGAAAATGCTTCAGACTAGGTTGTCGCCCAATCCAAAGCTCATAAGGTGTTTTGGTAGCTGCTTTAGTTGGTACTCTGTTTAGAATATAAGTTGTCGTCTTTAGTACCTCTCCCCAGAGTGACTTCGATAAGGTGGAATGACAAATCATACTCCTGACCATATCTTTAAGAGTGTAAAACAAGCTCAAGCGTCACGATTCAATTGTGACCTAAGCACTTGTGTCATAATGCACCTGAGTGAGTATTTCAATTTTACGTTTAGTACCACGTGATTCTATATTAAGGGTTTCATTATAGGTGACCACAATATCAAGTAAATACTGATTATCATAAGCCAAAAGTGAACCAGTTCCAACAATATCTGAATTAAAATACAAACTGAACTCATTGTTTCCAAATGAACACAAATAACCTAATTTGTCCAAATAAGAAACTGAAACCAAATTTCGTCTAAAAGACGGTACGACAAAAGTGTCTTTTAAATCTAAAATAAAAAACCAGTACACAATAATAATCTAAAATGCCTAATAGTCTCCATCTCCACCAATTTTCCATTTTCAACGTATATTTATCTTTCAGAATCAGTTGACTTCCGATAGTTTAGGCAACCCTTTCTTTTCACGCCAAGCATGATATTTAGCACATTGCTTCTTTACGTGTCTAGTCTTATTGCAAAAGAAACATTTGTTTTCTTGAGTTTGTTTCTTTTGTTCTGGACCTTTAGCAGCTTCCTTCTTGGGATCCTCCGATCTCTTTCTTTTGCCTTTAGCCTTAGAGGTGCTTGCAAAATGAGCACTTTCTATCTTATCTTGCTTTAGTCTTTCTTCTTCTTGCACGCAATGAGAAATGAACTCATTAAGAGACCATTTATCCTTCTAACAGTTATAAGATACCTTAAATTGATAAAATGTTGCGGGAAGAGAAATCAACACCAAATGAATGAGCAAGTCTTCTGAGAGTTCAAGCTTTAGTGCCTTGAGTTTAAAAACAATATTAGACATGCTCATAATGTATTCCCTGATATTTCCTTTTCCCTGATATTTCATGGAGATCAAGTTCTGAAGAAGAGTGCTTGCCTCCGCCTTCTCGCTTTTTGCAAAGCGCTGTTCAATTTCAGCATGAAATTCTTTGGCACTTGTGATGTTTTCAGAAACAGTGCCCCTAAACACCTTCGGGAAGCTGCGCTTAATGATCATTAGACTCATGCGATTTGAGCGATCCCACTTCTCATAATCTCTTTTTTGTTCAGAGGTACTTGAATCCATAGGAGTAGGGGGTTGCTCAGTCCTTAACGCAAAATCCATATCCATGCAGCCAAGAATAATATCAGTATTCTCTTTCCAATCCTTAAAATTTGTTCCATTGAGGATCAAAACAGAATTCAAATTGGTAGATACAAAAGCAATTGTAGTTGGATTAGAACAAAAGAAATAAACTAATTATGCTCACATTATAAAATAAATAATTATAAATATATATTCAAATAATGGTTTAACTCATGTCAAGACACTCAATGCACCATCAATATCAAGTCCTTGGACAATAATATTAACTGCTAGGGGTATCTTGTTGTAATGATCAAACATTGACAATAAAGCACGTCCAACAACAAACCAGTCTTTGGATTGATTTATCATCGACAAAGCAAATCCTTATAATTATCACATGTTTATCATTACAAGTGTGTATGCAATTCAGCCAAATATTAATTTTCCTTTGAGCCAACTAATACTCGCATGAATATACACAAACACTGACATTCAATATTTTTTACGAACTACCCAATTCAAGATAGGTTACTTTGGTGACTTCTTGACTCAATTTGTTCACAAAAATTTTAAACTACCAAAAATTGAATATTTTATTTAACAGCACAATGAAGAACACCTTCCCTATAAAGAAAGCCCTTCATGTTTGAGTTGTTCCGAAACTATTTTGAATGTACAATTTTTGCTTGTCAAGTACTTTCTTATTCTTTCCTATTTCTGCCTTTTTAATTTCTTATTTTATTAATTTGTTTTGTGACATCAAGGAAAACATTATAAATATTGGTTTGATGCTGAGAAACCAGCACAACTCA